AAAAAATGTCATCCTCTAAATGCTACAGAAACCAAATAACTGACAAGTTAAGTTCCTATGTTTTGCCGTTTTATCTACTTAAAATGCAAGCCATAGCCAGTTACAGTACACGTGTGTTTCTTGGGTAAAATGAATTCATCTAGGTACCGGACCCTAAGATGAAATAAATCTAACACAAAGTACCAGATTTCTCTATTGCCCACTAGTGTTCAAATTTCAAGTGTGATTTCCGTTTAAATAATTCAAACAGATTTAGAATCCATATGATTCTTTAATAAAGTCAGGCTATCAGATGATAAAATTTAGAAAGCACAGATACCATATAACTCAAATAAAAATCTTAACTTGGCTTTTCACATGGATTTGATATTTATGTAGGAAAAGAGTTTGTATTTGATAATCTTAACACTATTAGGGGAAAAATAATATACAATTTTACGCTAATTCCGGCAACTAAATGAATCATTTACCTCCACAGTTATTGCAGTTTTCTGAGTCTTTTTACCAATCAGGTCCACCTGTTCATATGAAGGTTTCATGTATTTCTTAGCAACATTAAATACCCAATGAGGGCAAGTTGCAGAAAAAAGCAATGTTTGGGGATTGTCTTCAGAATCTTTGGGGGGAAAAAAAACAGTATGAATATTCCAAACAAGCTTCCATAATATTCCATCTCAGTACACCCAAGGTCCATCAACACTCATCAGTATGCACTCAAGGCCAAGCCAGGCATTCAGGACAAAAGATGGAAGACAGAATTTCGAAGGGGGAAAAAAAAAAAAAAAAACCCTGCTGAAATAATTTCTATAAATATCCTTGAAACAGTGAAGTGTTTCTACATCTTTTGCTTTCTGACCATTGAGCTTTATGAAGCATGAAGGAAGTATGTCCAGTATATCCAAGATCTACTAACTGGATAACAATTCGTGAAGTCCAATAACCAACCAGTATAGGATCCAAAGCAAATAACCTATAATAAACACCCGGACAGATTCTATTCTCATCTACACTCCCTAGTATATCCTTAATATAACGTTAGAATCTCACCCCACTGATTCTTTGAATACAGACTCTGCGTTTTGTTTGTCTGCATTTAAAGAATACCATTACAGGGCCAGCCAGGAGGCATGATGGTTAAGGAGACTGGATCCCACATGGTCAACTCTGCAATTTGAATCCTGGGCCAGATGGCTTGAAAAACACATGGGGGATGAGGGAGAAAGCAGCAGATGGCATAGCAGTTATGTCACTAGACTGCCACATGGCCAACCGTGGTTTGAGTCCGAAACACAACGGTTTGAATCTCACGTGGGGAGCATGTACATGCATGCCTAAGATCTTGGGATGAGAATGGAGGAGAAGAGATTGCGGTGTGGCCATCCCTCCTAGGGGGTAATGTCTCACTTTCCCTCTTTCACTGTCTCTGCTCAGCAAGTACATGAGCCTAAGACAAAAACCTCCTGAAAAAATATAAGAAAGAAAAACATACTGGACATATGTGTGTGCCTGAAACCCTAGAGAGTAGAGAATGGACTGTAATATAGCCATCCCCCCTTAGGGGGTGATTTCTCACTAGGCACAAGTCTCTCCTGTTTGTCTGTGATGAGTTCACACACCCAACAGCAAAACACAAAAACAAAAAGGGTACCATTAATTCTCATACGTTGCAAATGCTAGGGTAAGCTGACACAGCTGTTGAGGAGCACATGAAAATGTATATTGAGGAACATGAACTATTTATACATTTTAATTCAGTAATTCCATTTATGAAATCTATCCTAAAGAATTGATTCTGGGGACCGGAAGATGACATGGTGGTTAAGGGTGCTGGATTCCCACATAGCCAAAGGCAATCTGAGCCCCGGACCTAGCAGCTTGCTTTCTCACTTTCTCTATTTTTCACTCTATCACTCTCTGGTCAAATTAAAATAAGTAAACAAAGTTTAAATAAAATAATTCTTTAAGAGAAAAAAAAGAAGAACCAATTCCAGGAGACCAACATATGGTGTAATGGTTATGTTGTGGACTCCCAGACAGTCAACCATGGTTGAAGTCCTGGACCTGGCAGCCTAAAACTCACACCAGGCGCAGGTGCGTGCATGCCCCAAATCCTTCTATCTCTGTCTTTCCAGCGAGCACATGCCCCCCTATAGCAAAAATCTCTCACAAAAGAATAAACTCCAGGGGGCCAGGCAGGTGGTATAGTGGTTAAGGCAACTGGATTCCCACAAGGCTGACTGCAGTTCAAGTCCTGGACCTGGGAGCTTGCTTTCTCATTTTCCTCCCTTTCTCTCTCTCTCTGATCAATTCAAAATAAATAAATAAATAAATAAATAAATAATGACAACAAATGAAATAAAATTAAACAACAACAAAAAAGAATCAATTCCAGATACTGAGATACGGGAGAAACTATCTATACACATAAAAGCGACTGTGGGAGGGTTGGCAAGTGGCATGGTGGTTAAGACTGCTGGACTCCCACACTGCCAACCAGTTCAAGTCTTGGACCTGGCAGCTTGCTTTCTCACTCACCTCGCAATTCTTTCCCTCTCTGGTCAAATGGAAATAAAGTTAAATAGCTTTCTCACGTCCCCCAACCACACACATTCTGTTGCTCTCTAGTCTAATTAAAATAAAGTTAAATGAATTCTTAAAACAAAAAAATTGACTATGCAGTTATTTATAATTAAAAATGGCAAATGATAGAATTAATTTATGGCTAATTACTTCATGGATTATGCTAAATTTTTACACATACAGTAAGACTATAATAAACACACAAACATGCACACAATAATATACAAAAGTCGGAAAGAAAACCACCAAAAGCAAAGTACACCAAGCTGGTAGATTACAGAAATTTTCTTCTTTTACTTTCACTAGCTTTCCCCATTGCGTTTAGGTGAAAAAAAAATCATTAAATTTTTCTTTAAAAAAAATGCAAGTTTTTCTAAATAAAATAAGCCCTCTTCTAATTTTTGAAGACTTCACTCATCTCTTAGAATACTACTAAATCACTACTCCTTCTTTGGCTCCTTTTATCATTTCCTTGACATTGGGGCTCACCTTTCTTGTAGGCCACACATAAAATTTCTTCCACTTGATCCGCAAAACCCATATCCAACATCTGGTCAACTTCATCTAGGACAACATGCTTAAGCTTGGTGAGATCGAGCTTTCCATTCTGTAGGTGGTCTTTGATACGACCTGGCGTCCCAACCAGGATATCAATCCCATTCCGCATGCGTTCAACTGGAAAGAACACCCATGATAAGATTTGCAGGGTTTTTAAAAATAAGTCCAGTTATCAGTCTGGGATACCAATTAAATGTATTTTGACTCTAAATAATGACAAAGTAACATGCTAAATAATAAAGATACTCAAAGTGCTCCTAAACTAGTAGGACAAACATGTCGAGAAGTGATAGTTAAGTGTATTAAGTGACATTATTGTAAAAGGCACCCTTAGGGTATGGCAGCATCAGGAAAGAAATGACCTCCTTGGCTAGTAGAAAAGTGTCAAAGTTTTATAAAGTGAGAATATGAATCTTAAAAGAAATGGGGACTTTCTATAAACTAAGCAGGTATAGAAAGTTTCAGGCAGGACAGAACAACTATTCCAATAAGGTATAAAGCAGTTCAAGAAAATGGAGGAGCTCAATATCACTGAGATAAGATAGTAATAACATAGCTTTTTATTAAGTTGCTACTACAACTTAGGGATCATACGAGGCACTTTACACACACTATAGGATTCAAGCTCCACAACACCTTTGCAGGGTGGATTTAGTGACCTTATTTTGCAAATGAAGAAACTAAAGTGCAGAACAATTAAACAATTTGAACTTAAGCACATAGCTACACATTGGCTCTCTGAGCAGAACATAAGATTCAGGCCTTTCTGATGCCAAACCCTATGTTTGTTCTAGCCAAGATGGAAAGAATCATAAGCCTTATGTTCAATGTGAATACCTTTTTTAACGCCTAAAATCTCTCCCTGAATTATTTACCTACTTCTACATAATAGTTTCAAGATTGGGGCTGGCAGGTGGTGTGGTGAAGGCGCTGGATTCCCACACAGTTGATGGCAGTCCAAATTCTGAAACTACAGTCTTCCTTTCTCTCTCTCCCCCTAGTCAAATTAAAAATAAATAAAATAGGGACCAGCAGGTGGCGTGGTGATTAAGACACCCCACATGGCTGACTACAGTTCAAGTCCTGGCCCTGGCAGCTTGCTTTCTTGTTTCTCTATCTCTCTCTGTCCCTCTCTGGTCATATTAAAATAAATGAACGAATCAATAAAATTAAATAAATAATTATTTTTAAAAAATAATTAATTAACTCCCCCTTTTTAGGAGAGATTTTTGCTACAAAGCACATGCAGTTGCTGGAGAGACAGGGAGACAGTGAGAAATAACACCCCAGTCAGGAATGGCTATGCTGCAATCCCTTCTCCTCCACTGTCTAGGGATTTCTGGCATGCACACACATGCCTAGCCTGAGTTTCAAGCCACTGATCCAGGATTTGAACTGCATGCAGCTGGCCATGTGGGTCCAGTAACATAACCGTTATGCCATTTGTTGGTCCCCAATAAATAATTCTTTAAAAAAAAAAAAATTCAGGGACCAGCAAATAATATAATGGCTACATCCTAAACTCACATGTAGTCAACTGCAGTTCAAATCCTGGACCTGGTGCCTTAAAACTCACACCAGGCACCGGGCATGCGCGCATGTGTGCCCAAAATCCCGAGAGGAGAATGGAGAAGGGATCGTGGCGTGGCCATCCCCCCAGGGGGTGATTTCTCACTTTCTGTTTCTCTGGCGAGCGTGCCCGCCCTATAGCAAAAACCTCTCAAACAAAACAAAACAAAAACAACAACAAAAAATACTCACACTGGGCATGTGTGCCTAAAATCCCAATAGGAAAACAGAGAAGGGACTGCAGTGTGGCCATCACCCCAGGGGGTGATTTCTCACTTTCTGTCTTTCTGTCTCTCCTGTGAGGACACATACCCTATAGCAAAAATCTCTCTTAAAAAAAAAAAGTCTTAAGATCTTGAACAGAAAGAATACAATACTTAAGTGTTACAACATTTTGCCTTTATGACCCAAAAAGAAAGCCTGACCAGAACAAGAAAGAAGCAAGGATAAAACAGAAGCACAGACCCAGGATGCTGATAGATAAAAAGAAACCCTGCATTTTGGCTTTCTAGATCCCAGGGGTAATTCTGTCTTCATGGGTTCAGGTAAACTACCTTTGCAGCCTGTGGATAAATATAGATAATAAATGCACTCAGGAATGCAAGGGATGGCATTTTCTTTCCCCACTTCTGAATTTACTTACTTTGACCTCCATATGGAGTTCCACCATAAAAACAAGCCACTGATAGTTTCTTTGTGATGTCACTGAAGTCTCTGCTTACTTGACTTGCCAACTCTCTTGTAGGAGTAAGAACCAGTACCTGGAAAGGAAAAAGAATTGAATTCCAAGTATTATGAAGTACTTGCTTCTTTTTTTTTTTTTTAGAGTTATTATATTTATCTTTACTTATTTTAATTAGACCAGAGAGGGACAGTGAGAGGGA